CAAATCGCAAGTATACAAATTAAAAAGCAAGGGGGATTTCACAGCTCCCCGCTGCAGTCCCTCTCTGAGCTCAAAAACTTTCTCTGGCTCGAGATCCGTATCCGCGACGAACATACGCCTCCCTTAAGCGAGTTCCATATGATTCTGATTACATAAGTCGGAAAACCCTTTTTTATTAATTTATAAATTAGTCCGTTCAGCCAGACTGGGTGGAAGGCCTTCTCGAGGTCAACCAGGCAGGCCGCCAACGCCCGTCCCTCTAAATAAGATTTACGAATGTCGGATTGTAGTTTAGTTATGGCGTGAATAGTTGAATTTTTTTGCCTAAAGCCGAATTGCTCATTTGGAATAATACCATTTGCACCAGCGAACCGATTAGTAATAATTTTAAAAACTTTACTAAAATTTGAGAAAAGGCTAATAGGTCAATAGTCGCTTAGATTTGAAAGATCGGCTTTGATCCTATCGGCTTAACTTTTGCCAATTTCCAATTTTTCGGGAAAAAACTATTATTTAGCATTTGTTAAACAGCCCAAGTAGAAATGTGCCACTGGCATAGTACTGACCCAACACTGCCAGTCAGTATAATAGTACTGACTGCCGTACTGGGCCAGTAGTGGACCAACCCTGGCTGGTAACGCTGTCCAGTACTGATTTTGTCCCGCTCACCAGTACTAACGTAGTACTAGAATAATACTGGCATAATACTGGCAAAGTACTCATCCGGACTTAAAATCTCACTTTTTTACAAAATGCTAAAACACGCTTTCCAATGCAAATTTCATCCTTATTAGCTTATTACTCCCATTTTTACCACGAACAGGTAATGTGAAGCCAATAATAGTTAATGTTATTTAGAATATATAAAATATTATTAACAATAAATAATTAAAATAATTATCATTTATATTAATTAAATTATTTTATTTTTAATAAATTATTTGACAAAAAATAATTTGTGTTGTAAATTTTTTTATTTTTTTAAATTCATAATATTCAATTTTTTTTACTTTGCACTTATACTTAATTTAATAATTATTTAATAATTGATATTACACATGAACAAATATTGTACTTATAACACTTAAAACTAAGAACGAAAAATCTCGCACGCATGGGGGATCGAACCCTAAACCCTTAGAACGCAAGTCAGATACGCATACCGCACAGCCGCGCTGGCTTGAAGTGCTGACTTGAAGTAGTTCGCCTAATACAAAAGTTTTGATTTCAAAGTTTGTATTATCTATTGATCACTAAAATAAAATGAATTTATTCTTAAATTTTTTAAACTCACAAAATTTTTTCAATTTTTACAAAGATTTAATGAAATAAAACTGGATATCAATTTCAGTTAAATATTTTTAATAAATTATTTTTACCGTAAATAATATTAAAACAGACAAAAATGATTGATGAATTACATAATTAAAAATAAGTTAATAAAAGACGACTGTAAAATATGTATGAATGGTAAAAAAATTTTTAAATTTAATATTTAATTATTAATAATATTTAAAAATTACAGTGAAAAAATTACATTTGCTTTATTTTTAAAACTATTAGAAAAAAATTCTCAACTTATTGTTATTGTATACATGATAAATAACTTAATGCACATATTTCAATGAGTACTAAAATAACTAAAAAAACATAAATATATTTTATATAGGTATATAATAATACATTACAATTACATCCAAAATTTTGAGGGAAAGTATTCGAAAGAAATTAATATACATTTTTTAAAATAAAAAATCATCGTTTTCTACCTATTGGAATAATTTAAAGACTTTTTCATTTAATGTTTTTTATCACCGACATAGTACTGATTCGATGTATCAGTCAGTACACTGCCAGTACTGAAAGTCAATACCGACAGCCAGTATTGGATCAGTACCATGCCGGTGTTTAATTACGGCAAGCTACGGATATTTCTACTTGGGAGAATGACATAATATTTCACTAAATTATTCGGTAAGTTTTTAATGGCAAACTTTGGGGATTCCATCGACTACTGACGATTTTTTGTTTTTAAATTTTTTTAAAAATTCGTATAATTTTAATAATGTCACAAAAAATATTGATCTAGTTCAAAGACGGGATTAAGGGAGGTATTAAAGTTGGAAAAGGTAACAATAGGTTGCGCCGCGGCTTGCTCAAGGTAAAATTCCGTTTTCAATTTTTCTATGGTGTTAGTAACAATTCTGTACAGACCGGTATCAACGTCTACGATAGGCGGGTTCTTTATCTTGGCAAGTGATCTCCAAAGAAATTTAATTTTTGTAAGGGGTCAGTAATTATGTACATATTCTTATTATTAACATTGTTATTACGAATATCTATTGAAGCAGAATTTAATAGGTCAAGGTTATTGTTTGGAATTAGCAGGTTAGGAATGTTTGTTGATTTAAATGGTCTAAATATCGGATTTAATTTTTTGAAAATTTTTTCGTTATCCTTACTGCAAATATCACTTAACTTATTCGACCAGTATTTACTTAGGGCTGAGTTAAACAGTGCTTTCATTTTTTCTCTAGTTTTTTTAAACAGTGATTTACACGCTAGAAATTCAACGCGAAAATGTTGTTGATTTTAGTGTCTATGTAGAAAGGATAACAAAAAACTTTTAACCTTTTGGCATATAATAATTGCGTTACTGACAAAACGAGAGATAGTGTCAAATTCCTCGTGTTTTGGAGTTGCTTCATTAAGAGATCTTACAATCGATGAGTCGAGGATTTGGAAAAACTCGGTAATCTCCTTATTTGACAAATTTCTGTTTATGGGGATGTTTATTTTAGTCCGTTTCGCGCTTCAGCAATTCCAATTCGTTTTATTTAGATTGAGCGACTTTTTTTCGTTATTTCCCACGATAAGATATTCCTCTCTCTGTGGTAGTTGAATTTTGATAAATAACACTAAATGGTCGCTGTCGTATAGAATGACCGGGATTTTGTTTTTAATCGTATTTAATATATTTATGCGCACATTATGTAAATAGATATCTAAAAAAGGGCCGTTAACTAATAAGTTAGTTAAATAATTGCCCCTGCAATTTGATACGGCATCCCCCCAGAGAGGGTGTCTCATATTCAAGTCACCAGCTATATAATAAAAATAACTAGGGAGATCCAATTTAAGTTCACACCTGCTCTTCCCTGTGGGCCACAGTCATTTCGAATAGTTACATAGTTTGGAAATTTAATATTGTGTTTTGCATTGAATTTCGTTTAAATCGGATCGAATATGGCAGAAAGGAAAATTAAAAATCAATACAATTTACTAATATCAGATTCGTAATCAGCCACCTTGCAAATTCCTGAACAAGGAGTTTCAAGCAAATCAGTCAAGTTTAAAAAATATATCCGCCATATTGGTTCCGCCATTTCGAATTTAGAAAAAGTAACATCAGATATGTAATCAGGGACCCCAAAACCCCCAGTAACGATATTCAAGTGATAGTGAACGTTTTTTTTTATTCTTCCGCCATAATAGATCGGCCATTTTGAAAAACGGACACTAGATTCGTAATCAGCGACCCAGAAAATCCCCGAGTAACTATTTTGAGATGAATACGTTAACTTTTTTCAAAACTTGTTGGCCATATTGGATCCCCTATTTTGAATTTTGAAAAACGTACACCGGATTCGTAATGAGCGACTCCAAAAACCTTCGAGTAACGATCCTCAAGCGAATATGTTCATGTACATGAAAAAAGTTGTCAGGGTTCTAGGGATCCAACTCAGGCAACTACGTTCATAAGAGCTATAAAATAATGTATTAGAAAGAGTTTTACATAAAAAATTTTGTTTCTTTTTTTAAATGTACGTTATAGCATCAGCTTATCCAATTTGATAACGATTTTGAAAACATATTTTCTTAAATACAAGTAGATGAAAAAGCGAATTTTTTGGGTCCGAGGAAACCAGCTCAGGCACGCAATGGTTAGGGTTTAGTTTTTTTTCTTAGTTACTTGACAGTTTTTGTGGTTGCAGATTTTTATTTTAATTGAGTCAAAATTTTCTGGCTAAAGACTTGAATAATTTTTCAATTCATTGAGTGGCCAGTGTCTAGAAAGAAATTCTTATTACGATTATGATAGATTTTCTGGTTAGTGACTTGACAGAAGTACTGATCAAAAAGACTGGACAGATTATCTTGACAAGTAAAACTTGCTCTCAACTTCACAGCTACTGGAAGGAAACAAGTAATATTCGAAAAAATACGCATGTATAACAAATATGAACTGTCTTGGTCAAATAGTGTGTGCGCTAGGAAGATTAAACGCTTTTTTTTCAAAATTTTTTATTTTTCCTTGACAACGCTATATAAATCGATCCGAATCATTTTCGCCATATTTTTCCTGTAATTTTCACGTAAAAATACACAAGTGTACCAAATTTGAGCTCTCTATGTGAAAAGATGTGGCCACCAGGGGGGAGTAAATAGTCATTTTTAGGGTTTTTTCGTAAAAATTTATGGTTTTTCTTTGACAACGCTGTGATAATCAATTCCTATGAGATTCGCTTTATTTTTCGTATAATCTACACGCCAAAATACATATGTGTACCAAATTTCAGCCTTTTAGATAAATTCGTGTGGCCACTAGGGGGGGGGGGTACATGCCTTACTTCACTAGTCTCATAAATAGAGTTCCCCCTTCGGGTACAGATTCTTAAAAATTAAACTGACTTTGAAAAGTAAAAATTAAATATTTTTTTTAATTTCGGAAAAGATGGTCACAAAACGTTCACGACATTTTTAACACCATTTTTTCATGTGGCTGTATTAAAGACAAAATTTACTTACGGATATCACAATAAAAATGTTTTTACAGTGTTATTCATTAGTTAAAACCGATAGTTTAATATTTCGCATTTGGATTCAAAAAATTAGAAAGGTGGGTCCACTCGTGGAGACGATCCACTCATGGATATTATTACATTCCCCTACTAATTACTTAAAATTTTAATAATAAATATTTTAAATTTATTGTTGAGATTAAGCATATGCCTAAACTTATGAGCCTAACTGACTACTTGCAAGATTATACAACTAAGTCAATGGACAGTAAGGAAAAATTTGCATACGCCTTGTGGTTACATGTATCTGAATTATTTAATTTTACGTAAGTTATGTAATAAACATTTTTTATATGTACGCAACTACAACATTAAAAATTAAAACTTACTTGCTTCTATATGTTTTAGAATTGAATTAGAAGAAATTACTGACTGGAAAATTGATGATACTAGTGGCCCAATATTAAAAGGACTCTTAAATAGACAATTTGACTTCTCTGGAACACCTGATGCTCTGACTACAAGAACATTAAATTTTGCTTCACCTCCTACAACACCTTGGCCTTATAGGTTGTATATAAGTGAAAATATTTTGTGAGAAACATGTGTGTAAGTTGGTTTTGTTTTCATCAGATTTCAAGAACTCAATTATCCTAATGAGAACTGACTCCTCAATTTGAGAATAAAAAAAATCTCACATTTCTACTTTTACTTAATATATCATAGTTTAACCATAAATATTAATATTATTATTTTCTTATTTCTAAAGTACTCATCTTGATATCAGTGTCAATTTGACTTTTATTTGAATTTGTAACATATTTCGTGAAAATTCACAAATATTTAGAAAATAGGGGAGACAGGGATTCATTGGCGCAGTTTTCACTCTTTGTTGTGTAACTCACTCATTATTGCTTTTTTAAGGAGGTACAACCTATAGAGTTCGATTCAAAAGTTAGTGACAAATTAATATTGGAAACTAAAGAAATTAATTTCATTGAATACTTCACACAACAACTCACATCATAAATAACACTTGCCGTTTTAAATAAAAGTAATAGGATAATATAAAACATTATTTTTTAAATATTAATTCAATATAAATTGTGTTACATACTTTTTGCAGTTATTATGTACCAACTTTAAAAGGTGAAATATTTAATTTAAATCTAACCAAGATAAGGAATTTTTGAAATTAAGAATGATAATGAGTAAAAATTTCTAAAGTGCCCCCCCCCCTTATATTTATAAAGTTGCAAAATTTAAAATGAGTCTCTGAATTTTCAAGTACTAGTATCTGGTAATATGTTCACGGAGTTTTTTGAAATTATTCATATTTATAGTTACTTGAAGATTTTTGAAACCTTTTATTAAAATAACTAGCTGCTTCACGCGCGCGTCCATTTTTCTGATCCTTTGATCGTCTCTTCATTCAGAAGATAACGCATGTTGCGTTTACGAAATACGTAAAAATGCCATGCATTGTAGTGCGTTTTGATTACGAGACAATTTAAACTAAGCGATATTGAGAGGGAAGTCCACTTTTAGTGTTAGAAAAAACCGATTTTTCTTTTTTTCCATAGTTCTAAGTTAGAGGTTATTAAACATGTGCTCCCTTAAATAAAATTGAGAAATCCTTTTAGATCATGAGTAATTAACGCGCCAATATGATTGTGTGTTCGATTCTTCCACGAGCTTCTGAAGTGGGTGGTAGCGTTACCATTCTTATCAGTAAATTATTTTATTATCCCTGGCGGATTGGATGATGCGAATGGTCCACAAAATTGACGGAGCATTCGTGGAACATGAGGTTAAGATTGAAATTTTGTCTAAAATGTATCAACGATGATAAAATTGATAATTTAATTATTAAAAACAATAACTTTTATGTATTTTAAGATAATTATTGTTGAATAATTATAAAAATTTAATGTTTTTATTAATTTCAATCTATTACAGTTTATTATCAACATTTGTCGATAAAATCAATAGAGTCGCGCTTTTTAGCAGGTAGGTGGCAGCACTCTTATTTTTTTCTTTGAATTTTTTTTTGTATTTTTTTTTATCAAAAGCAAAAATATTTGTTCAACGGAAATATTATAAAAAATGTATTATTTTATTTAAAAAAATTATTTTTTAATAAAAAAAATATTATTGGTGAAAAAATTACTTTTTTTATCAAAAAAAGTTAAAAAAAATTAATTTTTTTTATCAAAAAAAAAGTTGAAAAAAATTAATTTTAAACTGAAATATTGGTGAAAAAATTTATTATTTCATCAACAAAATTGATGTATTAATCAAAAATATTAGTAAAAAATCAGTTTTTTTATCTAAAATATTGTTGAAAAAAAAAATTTTTAACTGAAATATTGGTGAAAAAATTTATCATTTAATCAAAAAATTATGAAATTTTATATTTTTATCTAAAATATTGGTGACAAAAATTTATTTTATTATGAAAAATATTGTTAAAAAAATGTGTTATTTTATATAAAATATTAATTTTTTTGATAAAACAATTTTTTTTCATGTATATTACCATTAAAAAATAATGTTTTTTCAGGCAAATTGTGGAAAAAAAATTCATTTTTTCCAACAATATTTCTGATAAAAAAATAAATTTCTCACCAAAATGTTTGTTTAAATAATTAATTTTTCTCACTAATATTTCCGTTTAAAATTAATAACTTATTTCACCATTTTTATGATAAAAAATTAATATTTTTCACCAATATTTTTGATAAAAAAAATTAATTTTTTCAACAATATTTTTGATTAAAAAATTATTTTTCATCATCAATATTTCCTTTAAAAAAATTTTTGTTTCACCAATATTTTTGATTAATACATTCCTTTTTTCATAAAATAATACATTTTTTACCATTATTTCCGTTAAAAATTAATTTTTTTCAACTTTTTTTTGGATAAATAATAAATTTTTGTCAACAATATTTTACCTAAAAAATAGTATACTGTGCATCTAGGGAGAAAAATGGTTGATTTCCACGAGTGTGGAGTTTGCAGTTCGATGCGTAGCGAGCGCACAAGCCGAAGGCGAGTGCTTGCGAGCGAAGACGAAAACTGTAAACATACGAGCTGGGAATCATTTTCCTCCCGAGTTGCACGCACTATTTTTTTCTAACACACGTATACCGAATGTACAATTATTTAATAAAGCATTGAACACAATTATTAATTTTTTAATGAAACTTTAATAATATTTTGTCTAAAGTTTACAAAATAAATTTTCGAAAATTGATAATCTCAGGTTATGTGGGGATGACCGCTCTTGTTCTGGTCGACCCACTAAAAACCACACCCTTTTTGAGAATTTAACTCCACTGGCGGAACTTCTTTAAGCTTTATACATCGCCAGTGGAAGTCTCCTTACCGTTGCTCTCGGTCCCAAATCCTTAACTGAGTGCCAGCGCCAGAAGAAGGAGAACCAGTTAAGATCTCCCCCGTCCCGCGCGTGCACCCAGCCAAGCAACAGGATTTCTCCAGGTTAACCTCCTCCTGTCGTCCTCCTTCGTCCTCATTACAGTTGTAATGAAGGACTCGACGCTCCTCCAAGAGTCCGCGCTCTGCAACATAATAGAAACCATGTTCTCGGCTGTGACTTCAGTGCCCACAGCCGAGAACATGGCTTGCCTACCTTTAGACTCCCCATCCCATCTCTCCTGCCATTTCGGAACGAGTTTACTTCTGGACTCTCTGCGTATTATCGCTTTGAGTCTATCGTTATGCTCTGAAGTACCCGCCAGATCTTTGTTAAGATGGAAGATCTCCTTCCTTTCCATCGCCAATAGATCCATTGGCGGTAATCCAGAGAGTACCAGAACAGCGCTAGTAGACACCGTTCTGAAGGCTGACACAATTCTCCATGCCGGGTCTCTCTGGACCGGGAGGAGTCGGTCAGAGATGCTGTGGAACTTTAGGACCGAAGCCCAAACAGGGGTAGCATAAAGCTGCTTTGATTGAACCACCGTCGCCACTAGTCTACGTTTCTTATTTCTGGGGCCACCGATATTGGGCATCATCCTCGAAAGGTTTCCCATGCATTCGGTGGCTTGGAGTGACGAGATGTTAATATGTTCGCCGAAACTCAAACGTTTGTCCAACGTCACTCCCAGGTACTTCAGTTTTGTCCCCCATGAAACTACAGATCCTCCAATTTTCAACCGCGGGATTCGGAAGTCTCTCCGGTCTGTGACGAGCAGAGCCTCGGTTTTCTCGACAGCCATTTTCAGGGCATGTCGGTCCAACCAAAACCCTATTCGTCGCAGACTATCATCAAGTTTTAACTGTAAAAGATTTATCTCGTCCGCACAGCACACCAAAAGCACGTCATCCGCGAACCTGGTTAGAAACGTATCTTCCAGTAAGTCTAACCTCAGGAAACCGTCATACATGACGTTCCATATAGTTGGACTTACTTTCGATCCTTGGGGAGCTCCGCATGTCATCTCTTCTTTGATATGACATGCATCGCTCTCGTACACAACCCATCTGTCGCTAAGATAGTCATCTATCATTCGCAACAGATAGGTTGGCACCACTTTACGTTTCATCGCCTCGATACTAATATCCCATCTCGCGGAGTTGAACGCGTTTCGTATGTCCATGGCTACGAGTGCACAAAATCCCTCCTTCTTCCCTGATTTGACTTTATTTGCCTTTTCAACAACCGCTAAAATCGCGTCTACCGTTGACAGGCCCTTCCTAAAGCCAAACTGGTTTTCGGATAAGCTACTTTCGCCTACCAGGATTCTCTGTAGTCTCTCCAGAATCATTCCCTCTAAAAGTTTCCCATCGTATCCAATAAACAAATTGGTCTAAACGATGAGACTTTATTTTGAGGTTTATCCCCGTTCCTAAGGAGGTCCAACTTCTGTGTTTTCCCGTCACTGAAAAACTTTTTACACTCCGGACATGTATTAAAGACGTCGAGAAGTAGCTCCGAATATACAGCGATAACTTCTGTAAGAATCTCGTTGGGTATTACATCATTGCCTGGCGCTTTGCCATTTTTCAACGTCTTTGCCACATTTTTAAGCTCTTTAAGTGTGAAGAGTTCTTCCCTCTGTACTACACAGTGAGTATAGTCCTCTTGGGGGCCAGATTCCACGTGGGGGAACAAAGCACGTATGATTTTTCGGACCCAAATCGGATTGTCCAGACCGGGGGTTTTTTGCCGCGAAACTAGTTTCTTAGAAACTACTCTAAAAGCCAACCCCCATGGGTCCTTTTCCGCTTCTCCGATCAGGTCCTTCCAACAATTCCTTTGGCTACTCCTTATAGCCCTTTGAAGATCTGCCTGGCTTTACGACACTCTTCTTGCAGCAGGAGGTCTCCCTTAGAGTGGGTATACTTCCTCCTCGCTGCATGGCATTCTCTTCTTAGACGGGCTAGCTCGTCGTTCCACCAGTACAGAGCTTTCTTCGCTTTTCTTTTCTACCGGCGAGGCATTGAGTTCCTGCATGCCGCGATAATAACTCGCCTCGCGCACTTTTTCTTCTAGAGTAATTGGCTTCGTCGTCCAACCGAGTTCCTGAATAAACCGAGACTCG